CAATATCGATACCATCGCTGATTTTTGGGCAATTTGGTTCGTTTGGTCTAGGGGTTCAAGCTTGAATGTTTTGAGTTCGTATAAACTTCAAGTATTCGATACAAGTGAAAATAAGCAAGATAACTAAATTCTTACCTAGAAATCAAGCAAGTTAGGATAACATAAGATTTGCCTTTGTATGATACTCAGGAAATGTACAGGACACCCGAGTTACTCTAACATTATGACGATCATCCTCTTTTTGTGACATATCTGGATATTGTTTGACTTGGTACGTATCCGATGCATGTAAATTTTGGATCATACTTGTACGCATCCGATGCACGTAAATTCCAGATTGTACCCCATGCTCAAATAAGTTCAGGATACGAGCTTCTGAGGCATGTAAAATTATGGTACGTACCCCGACCTCTCAAGTATCTAAGATAGACTAAGGGCAGTAAACTCAGATTCACGTAAAATTTCAATTTTTATCCCGAAGCTATCAAGCTTTAGATAGGTCTATATGTTATCCGAAATGCACGTAAAATTCCTTCGACCACATCGTCAGGCCTATCTCATGTTTGTCTGTGTGCTTTTGTATGTTCATGACTTTACGTACTGGCATGTTCATGTAATGAATGCATGTAGTATTGCGTAGTTATTTTCGTGGTACTGAGCTTGTGAGCTCAGCATATGGAATTTGTTTCCGTGTGCAGGTTAGTAGAGGATCGTCGAGGGGCCTATCGTATTAGTACATTCCAGAGCAATCATATAAGAGTATGTCTTAAGTATGTTAGAGGGCATGTATTTATGTGAACCTTGTATTTATTCGAGTCATAACTCTGTTTTGATTTAAAACTTATTGGTTTGATTTGTACATATTTGGGAGACTCACGTGTTTTGTAAACTTTGACTATGACTTCATTTATTCCATGATGTATGATTTTGATGTTTATAAAATGCTTTGAAAAGAAATTTTATGGTTGATCATTTCGGTTGTTCCGTGTGACATCATAATCTATGGATCTTCAGGTCATACTGGATTAGGGTGTCATACTATACTTTAAATTTACTTTTGGTGCCTAAAATTTTTCATTAAAATAGGTATTTAACGTTTTTAACATTATACTTTTATGTGTTTGTACCATAACAGCCGTTAAATTTGATTGTTATCTGACACGTGTCATGCATATAAAATTTCAAAAGAAATTAAAAAGATACACTTTTATGTAACTAAACTATATTTTAAATTGACTTTTAGTGCTTAAAGAATTTTTCGTTAAAAGTAAGTTGCTAACTTTTTATTCCTTACACTTTTAGATGTCTATCGTTATATTTTTATTTTTTAATACTAAATATTTAGTTTTTATAAAAAAATTAAAAAAACTCCTCGTTTTGTCCCCCTCTCTCTCTGATCCCCCACCTCCTCCAACGACGAAGGGTCACCACCAGTTGGATTTTGTTCGAAACAGGACGAGGAACTCAATGTTGACGGTTGTGTAACGTACGACTAGCTGTAGCCATCAGAATCATCATAAACAATGAAGAAAAACTTAAAAAATTGAAGACTCTTCGCGTGCTTTTGAAGACTATCAGTGAGATTTCATGGTGGATAGAAGACAGGGTTTTAGTCGCTATGATGAGACGGTTCTGATGGTGTCAACGGTGACGACCATAGACCGACAGTGGCCAATCAACAATGGAATTTTGGGTTTTTTTTAAATTATAATATTAAATCTTTTTCTATATATATTTTTTGAAATTTTATATGCTTTGCATGTGTCAGATAATGACTAAATTCAACAGTCGTCACGGTTCAGACACCTAAAGTGTAACATTAGAAACGTTAGACACCTATCTTTAATGAAAAGTTTTTAGACACCAAAAGTCAATTTGAAGTATAATATAGACAACTAAAAATAAATTAAACCTTTTTAAGATTACCCAAAGAAAACAATAAAAACTATTAGTACAAAATACAACCCCCCACAAGGCCGACATTACAATTTACATAGCACCACCCAACAATCACTAATGGGGCGTATAGTTCGCGGAAAAGATCATTACCAAGTAGAATGTCTTTTCCAGAATTGTATTCTCATGTTTGGTTCACGAAAAATATCATTACTAGGTAATAATTTATTACCAATAATAGTATTTTTGGGTCAAAATGGTGGGAATGTCATTACCTCCAAACTCTTAGGTAATGAACAATTCCAACCACTTTTGACACAAAATGCCCCTTGAAATAATAATTTTTTTTTCATGTAGATCATTCTCAATTCTTATTCTTCATGCTCTACGCAAAATTATAAACTTAATAATAAAAATAATAATAATAATAATAATAATAATAATAATAATAATAATAATAATAATAATAATAATAATAATAATAATAATAATATACAAATATGATACATGTACCACACGACCAAAAGCTAAGGAAGATGGGCTTACTCTCCCACTAGGCCCAATCACAAGAGGACGAGTCAAGCTACTCAAAGATAAGCTCCAGACTGCAGTCCAGACCTTCATAAGCAAAGGATTACAAGCCCACATAAAGACTGGAGAATTCAAGGAAGGAAACTCACTAACCCTTCCTCCCACATCCATTTGGATCACCACAACACAAGTTAAAGTAATTCAGGATCAAATTGCTAGACTCAAGAAGAACATAATAACAACAAACTTGAGACTGCTTTTTCAATGAGATCCTGATGTTATTTGGTCTACATGTCTCTGGACTTAAGATCGATTGTCTCTTAGCTTTCCAATGATTCTTGAATCGCATCAATCCGATATCGAGAACTCAAGATACACTCATTTTAGTGAAGACAACGCATGTAGAAATTCATATACGGGATTTTATAAATATTACAAATTTTAATATTTTTATTGATTATTTGTAATATAATTTAATATAGGATGAGACATTATTTTTTAGGGTTAAATTTATTATTTTATTAGGAATTAAGATGTAGTTAAAATAATTATCTTTAGTTTATTGTTATTAAAAATTAGGATAATATTGTTATTATTATTTTTATTATTATTTTCAATCATTAGTCATATTACAATAATGACTCCTTCACCCCTCTTCATTACGATTAGGAAAGTTGGTTAGAGCTATTTATCGAGTTTGCCTCTTCAGTGCGACTACGAGGATTCTATATGACAGTTATCCATCTATCTCATCTTTCACAACTCCATCATCTTCTTCTTTCATTCAAATCATTCCGCTTTCTTAATAAAGTATAAAACTTTCTAGATTTGTTTCCTCGACGAGAACAACATTCACATTATCCTCTGCTTCTTCACTATCAAAAGAGTTTAATTTAGTAAAATATTAATAAATTTGAGTAGTTAAAATTATTTTATATTTTAATACTTAGTATATTAATTAGTTTATATTTTTATAAGGTGAACATATTATTATTATAAAAATATAATTATTTAAAATATATTTAATTTTGAATTATTAAAAAATAGATCTTATATATTAAAAAATAATATATATGTCCACTCGAGATCACAATATTATTTTTATATTATATTATATTATATATAAATATATATGATACTTATGAAAATTATTTAAAATTATAAGTTTGATATACTAATTATATTAATTATATGGTAAATGCATTTTTTTCCTTTAAACTTATATAGTATAATAATTAAAATATTTTTATAAATTTTCATTCAAATATTTTTTTGAAAAGTCATTCATTCAAATATTTATAATTTAATATTAAAATTTTACTGTTAAAAAAATATCTATAACAAGGGTAATTTGGTAAAATATGCATCAAAGTAATCTTATATTTCTCCAACCAAATACTGTAATCTTACATTCATGCTAAGTAAATCAAACAATGTAATACAACATTCCAGAGTAATGTTATATTTAGGTAATCTTATTACCAAATATAATCTTACATTCCGTGAACCAAATGCACCTTAAAAGGAATTTCCCACCTAAAACAGAGAATCAATTCACATGTGCTAATCAGTCTAGAATTTCTTTCTTCCCAAATAAAATAAATAAATATAATCATAATTGAAGCGAAAAATAAAATTTAATATTATAATAAATAAACATTGAAAATTTAATAATGCAAACGAGTTAATAAATAAAATTGAATGGTATCTGCAATAATTTTTATTAAAAATAGATTCTATTAAGGAAATAATTAAAATAAGAAACGGGCATGCATGAGTGAAGGGATGTTTAAAATTTCGGTTAACTAATTAAATTAATTGAACCAAATTTCGATTAATTGGTCGATTAATTTTAAATTTGGTCGGTTAACGATTAATTTTTTTTTAAAATTTAATTATCAATTAATTCGATTTAAAATCGATTAATTAATCAAATTAACCAAAATTTTTAAATTTTTAATATATTATTTATATATTTAATATATGAACCTGTAGATTAATTTAATATATCATTTAAATATTTAACTAAAATTCGGTTTTACCAAACTTTATTTGATTCGATTAATTATTTTTGAAAAAAATCAGTTTAATTTATGGTTAAATGTAAAAATTTCGATTAATAAATTTTAAAAATTCGATTCAATCGGTTAATCGAATCACCCTACATCATCGGATAAAATATGAAATCACCGGATAATAAAATGAAAAGACAACTTGATTGATTGATATCCGATATGTGCGTCTCAGAATCAAAATTCCGGGCAAATCCCAACCTCACCTTTGACACTTCCCAAAACCAATCATCGATCGTCTACTGTCATTCTACTTAAATCGAACGGCTAAAACCTACCGATCTCACATCTCATCATTCTCAGTTCGGCCACACCCTAGACAACCTCGGTCACTTTCTTTCTCCCTATGAATATTCAGCCAATCTCTTCGTTCCATCTCTCTAAAACCTTTCCTCTCCGGACTCTCTTTATCTCTCTCTCTCTTTGATTCCTGACAAATCTATACTCCCTTTAATCCTCCATTGCAGGAGCTTAGGTTTGTCTGGAAAAAACCCAGAAAAAATAACGAGCGTCTAAATGAACAGCAGCGCCATGGGAAGGTTTGAAGAGACAGGATTTGATTCTGTGGTTTGCCCTAAGCCTCGTCGGGTAGGCGTTTTTTTAAATAAATTCAGTAGCTGTTATTGGAGTGAGGCGACGGATTCAGATGATGGTACAGATCTTCTCGATATAATACTCTCCGGGGTAAGTTCAATTCTCTTCCTAATCTGTTGTAAAAATATTTCCCCTTTGATTTTGTTTTAATTGAATTACCAGGGTGGATATGGGGATGAAAAATCCACCAACCAAACGGCTTCATCGCCTCCATATTTCTGCGGATCGCCGCCAAGCAGGGCGGTGAACCCCGTGATCCAAGACGTCCGATTCGACAACGAGAAGGCGCCTCTAGCATCGCCGGCACCGCGCTATTCACAATCCTCGAGGGGAGGAGGGTGTAAGTCCGGGAAGAAACCGCCGGCGGTACGTATCGAGGGGTTCGACTGTCTGAACCGAGATAACAACAACCGCAGCATCTCCGCCGCGGCTTAAGGCATAAAATATTGGTTGCGAGAGGGAGAAGAAAAATTAAAAATTAAGAGTCTGGTCCAGTGGTAGGTTTGGGGTTGTAAATATAAAATTAAAAAATGAGAGCGAGGGTTTTTTGTAATTTGAGTGAAAACGACTACGTTTCTTGCTATGGGTAGGGTTCCTTTTTCATTATGAGGAGCGGATTTTTGTAATATATGTTGTTTTGATCAATGCCTCTACTCCTTTGTTCCTTCTATATGTAATTGTAATTTGAAGGAAATTGAGGCTTTAATTCTAAATTTTGTTTTTTCCTTATTGTTGCTTCCCCCTCCTAAGTAATTATATATAAATCTTATATGTGATTTAATTATAATTAAAAACTTATTAGATTAAAAAAATCTAAACTATACCTTTTTACTTCAGTCTCTAATTTACTTTATAAAACAAATTATCAAATATAAAACACCCGTCTAAATTATATATGTTTTCCCCTTCTGGATTTGTCTTAATTAATCCAGACTGTACACCTGATTTTAGTTGGTGAATCTCTCGGTAGGTTTTTTATGCATATACAATGACTTGAACTCGAGACATTGCTAAGCGATATCAAGTTGTTTACCACTTGAACCAACCCCTATTGATAATTATATTTTTTAACGAATAAGTGTCTAAAGTATTTTTTTGAATTATCTATGTGTCTAATATTACAAATATTATCTCTTTAGATGTTTGGATCGTAATAATCGTTACATGTGTCACACTTTTGTAATTTTTATTTTTTTTAAACAAAAAATATTATATCTATAAAAAATCATTTTTTTTAAATTACAAAAAGTCCAAAACTCCTAAAATCTTAAATCTCTAACTCTAACCTAACCCTAACCCTTTTGTCAACCATGGTCATCATCGTCAATGTCGTCCTCATTGTTAGTTATCTTTGCCCATGTCATCGTGGTTGTCGTCGAAACCATCGAGTGCTTCAAATTTGTGATTTTTTTATTTGTCAGGTTTAAATCCGTCTACTAGGGTGGCTGGGTCATCCATAGCGACTTGGTTGGCTTGATATTCTTTGACGGTAATGACGATGGATCGAGATGATCGGCGTGAGTATAGGGATTGTAATAAAGTTTTTCAAACTTTGAGTTTTTTAAGAGTTTCAAAAGTTTAGGGTTTTTAAATAAAAATTATATTTTTAAATGTCTAATTTTAAATAAAAAATTTCAAAATTACCAGAACTCAACATGTGTTATTTAACAATAGAAATTAATGATCGTTATGGTCTTAACACCAAAGTGGTAACGTTTGTAATATTAGACATTTGGATGATCAAAAAATACTTTAAGCACTATTTGTGAAAAAAGTATAATTTGAGCACTTATTTTATATTTAAGCCTAAAATAAATAATCAGTTGGATAAAGTACCCAAATGGTCCCTCGATTGTAGAATGTTATTTTGTTTAGTCCTGTAACTATTAAATTATTTAGTTATTTAACCAAGGAGTGCTACTTTATTAAGTCTGTCTAATAAAAATTATAAAATGGTCATCCTATTATTCATATATTTCAAATTTATCATTTTCCGTTAACAAATTGATGATTGTATGAAATGGATATCAATTTGTTGATTGAGATATGATAAAATTTGATTCCAAAATCGTTTAAGTTGTATTTTATGGGTTGACTTCCCATTTGCATTATTTGTTCGAGCCAGTGTTTAAAATATTATATTATAGATTAAGTGCTTGAAAGCAAAGTCGACATCAATAGATATTAATAAAATGCCAATCATCAATTTCTTAATAGAAAATAACGAGTTTGAAATATATAAATAGTCAAATGATCATTTTATAACTATTAATAGTTGAGATATTCAATAAAATATTATCCTATAATCAATTGACTATTTTATAACTTTTAATAGTTAAATGCTTAACAAAATAATATTTTATAGCCGGATCATTTATTTATTTTATCCTAATTATTTTAAATATTTAAATTATTTGTTATCAAAATAAATATTTGAACTATGTATTTTTATCTTATATTATTTTTGGATAACTTTTCCGATTGAAAAGAATGATGAGACTTAGAGTAAATCTTTAAATATTATTTTATTATCATTTTAAAAAGAAAAAAAGGTTTAAGGGACACTTTTTATTTATATAATAAATTTAATTTATCAATTTCGTTCATATTGTTTTTGTTCTTCAATTTAGTCTTTGAATTTGTTTAAGGTGTTCATCTAGTCCTATAAGTTCATTTTAACTAACAGAACGATTAATCTTCTGCATTTATCAATACCATCAATTTTCAAATCAGACAATAATATTGATGTGGCTTGATGAAGATTGACATGTATTAAAAAATAATTAATAAAATATTTATTAAATATAACAGTTAGAAAAAATCTCAAATATTTGACATAATCCCTTAATTTCACTGAAATAAATAATAAAATTTTAAGAATTTATTCTAATCATTGTGTTTAATAAATATTTTTACTAATCCTTCAATCCATATACATATAAAACTCACATTAGTCAAAAAGATCAATGAACTTCAAGGGTAAGGGTGAATACGCTAAACAACTTCAAAGATTAAATTGATTTAAAAAATAATAGAGATAAAATTAATAAATTGAATTTATTATAAAATGGAAATGACGTTTTTGCCCAGGTCGTTTACTCGTTTTATCTTAATCCAAGCCACAGGGTCTCAGTACTTGGTGTGGACGTGGCATTAAAGAAACTAAAAATAGCATTAGTGGGCTATTTATCTATTTTGTATTAATATTTATAAATTATTACATATATTATTATTTATTATGAAAATTCAGTATTAGGTAAAAACATTTAAAATTAAATTATACGTTTAGTATTTAAATTATTAATTTTATTCTATTTTTATATTTAATTTTTTAAAAATAAACATAATATTTAATATAAGTTTTAATTTAATACCTCACTGTTAAAAAATAATGGATATGTCATGAGATATTTTTTATTGTTTAATTTAGTTTTGAGTTTGGTACCTCTTCTATAGGTATTATATATATATTGCTTATTGAATCTATATTTTGGGTAAAATACATATTTAGTCATTTATATATTTGATAGTTTCATTTCGGTCACCCAATTATATTTTTTAAAATCATATTTAATATTACGTTTTGATTCAATTTTGGTCACCCTTCGTTAAAAGGTTAACAGAGATACTGATGTATTACCATTAGGTAATGCTATGTCATAATTGGCAAAATAAAAAAATTGTCACGTTTGTAGTTTTGTTTATTATTAATGACGAGTGACCAAAACGTAGCAGATTAGTCACTTGTTTATTTGCAGATTAGTCATTGATGTTTGAGGAGGGATGATATCAGGTCGCGAGGTTGAGTCGGAGTTTACACAAGGTACCCTCAGACCCCAAATTGGTTCAATCCATTTTACTCGTATTCGATTCGATAAAATTATTTCTTGCATTTGTTCTTGTCTGTGGAACTCCTTGGTTGAACTCCATTGAGAAAAAAAGTGTAAAACAATTAATTGAACCAGGTAGCTATAAGTTTGTGTTTCAGACGAAATTGTTGATAGGTCGTGGAAGTCGATTTGGGGGACAAACATGTAGCTTATATAACGTGCTTAACCCATAATATATAAGCTTGTCTTAGTCGAATTAATCGATCGAATCGGAGGTCTAATCGGTTTAACCTCGTATCCCGGTTAGTTAAACATCAATAATTTTGGACAAGAGATCCATGGTTCAGTAAACATGTTTCACTCTCATTACAAGATGTTTGAATACTTTAATGACAATTAGCAACAAGAACTAATTTTGCTGGTATTATTTGGTAAGAATGCTAAAATTCAACTTGGGCTAATAATACATCTTATCTGCAAAAATCTACTTCAGTTAGTATCTCATCCGCCCAAGCCATGTACTCATTGTCTATTTTCATGTCAGGCAAGTCAATCAACTCGATGTTCTCCGGCCAGTGGCCGACGCCGTTGTCATACGATAGAAGTCCATTATGAAGATCAGACGTATGATTCTCGGGACCACACCGTCCGAAGAGCTCGTCCCATGAATCCGAAGCCGATGGAGGTTCCCACAATCCGGTGATCGATGCCTCATCCTTCCACAAATCTTTAACGGATACCTCGTGGTCCACACTAGTTTTCAATTGCCGGACGAATTTGTGTTCTTTCACGGTTTTCTTCACTACGTACTGATCTCCCATTGTGTCCATCTCATGGCTTGCTTCATTGACATTGACCGGAACGTTGAGCACCGAGGAAGGAGACGGCGGAGCCGACGATGAATTCTTATTCTCTTCGGTCGCCATCATCTTGTACTCGCGTTTCCTTTTCTGATAAGCAGCAACAGCTTCCTCGATAGTGCCGTGAGTGCCAAGCCATTGACGGTTCTTGGTGAAGGGGTCTCTGATTTCCGCGGCAAACTTGCCCGAAGGCCTTCGTCGAACGCCCGTGGACATGGTGCTAGATTTTCGACGTCTCTTGCCATCGTCCTCCGAAGAGTCGACGGGAACAACCGAAAAAGTAATCTCCTTGACGAATCGCTTGATACCCGGAATCCGATTCTTCGCTTTGTTTGTGGCTTCTTCGTCCGTGGATGAATCTGTGGCATAAGGATCACTATATATGATTCGAGCCTTCCTCGGAAAACTCGAACCCGGCTTCATGATTGTTCTTCACTCAGGGACTTGCATGGCACTGCATTGAACATCACAAGGCAAAGCTCTTCCTCTTCGTTGGTTGATTTATACATAGTAAAGGGGATTGAATAAAAGGAACCAAATATTTAACGTATCGTTTTGACAGTCTTGATCATCAAGAAAGACCATAAACTTTTGAACTTATTAAGAAATCAAAAACTTTTAAGCAAGACAAAAAGTAGAAAAGGTTTAATCGCCAACGTTTAAATTTAATAAACATTTACCAATTTTAGAGATTTTTTTAAAGAATAGTTTTATAATAAAAAAGGGTAAATAATTTTTTTTAAATAGTATATTCAGCCATATTTTTTTATTAAATATTCATCTATCATTGAGTAATTCTCAAAGGGTATAATATAGGGTGCTTACAAATTTGTCATATTTGTTTTTTTGGGTAAAAGGGTAATTTTTACTTCTGTAGTAGACTCGATTTATCACTTTTGCCCCTATTGTATTTTCGCATCAATTCAGTTCTCGAAATTGCTCAATTGCATCATTCTGTACCCTACCCTAACTTAAAACCCTAAACTGTAAAAACCTAAACCATAATCCATCACCTCTAAACCCTAAATCCTAAACACTAATTTAGAGTTTATAATTTAGGGTTTTAAGTTAGGATAATGATATAAAATGATGTGATGAAACAACTTCGATGTTAAATTAATGCGAAAATACAATCGAAGTTAAAATAATAAATTGAGTCTATTACATGAACGAACGTTAAGTTTTTTTTTAATTATCAATAAACCATAAACTTTTAAGTAAATGAAAAAGTGTGTACTTCGAGAAGGAAATCGTAAACTAAGACATTTGTTTCTTTGATAAGCTTATTGTTTTCCAACAGATTTGTTTTCTAATTGTTATTTGAATTTTATTTTTTTCTTATATAATAGTAATTATTGTTATTATTATTATTATTATTATTTTTTCTAAAACTTGATAGGATTTGATATTTAGTTTTGGTTAAAATTTAATATTTTATTTTTCTAAATAAATGTTAAATTAATAGTATATTACAAATAAAAAAGTATTTTTGACAATTCCAAAATTTCTTCAAACTTTTTTTATATAATAACTAATATAATTGATAAAAGATGATAATGATTAATTTAACGAGTATAGATATGGATAATCAATTAAAAAAATAAGTATTATTATTAGAATTAGGTACTTTTAGATTAAAAAAAATTAAAACCGCTGCTAAATCCCAACTTTTAAGAGTCCCTTTGATTACATGCTGCTGATTTGTTAGCTGTCCTAACTTTTAAAAATTATAAAATGATCCTCTGACTATAAGTGTTTTTTTTAAGTCCCGAGTTGCACATTAAGAATAAATAAGAATGATTGTGGTTATTACTCTCAATAATAATTTAAGATAATAAGATTATTTTAAATTATATATTAAAAGGTTTATTTTTCATTCGAATTTAAGAAGTTAAATTCGTATTCTTTTGACTGAATATTTATTTATTATTATTTCTTTATTTGATTCAGAAATAATATTTAATAGCATGTTTATTAATTCTTGATTGAAATTAAATTCTTGTCAAATAAGAGATATGATTTAAATTATTATTTAATTTAAAGAATTTAAAATAATAATAATTAAAATAATTAATTAAAAACAGAGGATTTAGTCTAACCATAATTAAGTCATACTTTTATATATTGATACTATATGCACGAGGTTAAGGTTAATCACTCTTTACAGTCGCCCAAAAAAAACTATTTTGAGAAAAACATATTAGAACCAACATTCTATAACCATTCGTCATCGTTCATGTGTGGATACTTGTAGAGGGTGGTCGTCTTTCAGAAATGAATCACCTTTAAAGATCAAAAGAAAACCAAAGACTACACAAAAGAATTTTCGAACCAAAGATTAAGATAATCTCAAAACTTTGTTTTATCATAGTTAGTAGGAGTGAGCGTTCGATCGAGTCGAGTCAAAAAATTAACTTATTCGAGTTGACGAGTCTTATTTTACAACTCGGAGTTGAGTTGATTTTTTTCGAATCGATTCGATTTTTCGAGTTTCTGTTTAAATTTAATCGTAAATATTGATAATTCTATAATATTATTTGATTCCAATTAAGTGAATTTGTATAACCATATATATAAAACAAATATATTTCTTCATGGATTCACTTATATGCTTCATAAACTCATACAAACCAACTAAACACATCTAGTGATCTACACGTGGTAGAGATGAGTTAGAAATGTGTTACCTTAAATCCTAAGTAAAAATACTCAGTGCTCAACCTAATGCTAGCTTCTTCTTCTTTTTGCATTTGGAGCTTTCTCCAACTTCTCTTATTGGGCAAGGATCAACATATGCGCTACTAACTTGGTTAAGAGTTTAGAAAAATGTTAAGAGATTTTTACTAAAACCTCTCACCTCTCCTATATATGGCTACCATGACTAAATAGAGAGGATGATGGTTTAATTTGAAGCTCTAGTGATGGAGGTTATGATTCCTACCTTTAGAATTTCTTAGCTCAAACATAAAGAAGGAATGAAGAGAATAGAGGTAGAAGATAAAGATGAGTGAGGAAAAAGAGGGGGCTTCAAGGATGATATCATTCTCAATTATTGGGATTTAGCCTTTCAAAATAAAAATGGTATAATTATTTCCTTGATCCTTCTAACTTTGTCTCAAATAAAACAAATACTCCTTTTATCTCCAATTGATCTCAATTAGGTTTTTCACATATTCTCTTATTTGATATATGCAGCACCCAGCAAATCATCTAAATTCACATGCATGTCATAGTACATGGACATGCATACAAACATATACATATACACGTATTTAGGCATCAATATGTACATGTTAGACAGGTTTCAATTTGGATTCAAGATTCCAGGTATTCGAAGCGATCTTCAATGGCTTGTCCTCATGATGAACTTGTTCATCGTTGATGTTCAGCTCTTGTACTTCCAATATCTCCACTCTGCGATTCGTCTTCTTCCTTATTTTGATGGCCACATCTCGAGGGTTGAATTTCCCACAAACGCTAACCCTACATTGCTTCTTCTCTATCAAATGCGCTTCCAACTCTACACACCCATATCAACTTCAAACCATTATTAAAACGGCATTATTTTAAAATATGTATATATCTAACATTCAAATAAATAGTTATTTTGACTCTAGTCTTTTTTGAAGCACTATGATTCCGACGTTTCATTTTAGGGTAAAAGAGTCTCTAACGTTTGATTAAATAGTCACTTCAACAATTATTCTTTCTTCTTGTGGTATATTGGCCCCTTTTATTTTAAGGTAGAAAGAATCATATAGTTTGAGCATTAATCATTTGTTAACTAATTATTTTCATATATTGGAGCTTTTTTTTTCCCAAAAAATGAAACGTTGTGTATCAAAATGCTCTAAAAAATAATAGAAATCAAAATATCTTTAACATTTGATTGAATAGTCGTTTTGGATCCTTTTTTCTGAAGCATTTTGGTCCCCTACATTTCATTTTAGGATAAAAAGGTCTATGACATTTGACTAAATATTCCCCTTAGCTCTTATTCTTTCTTTTTGTGGCATGTAGGCCCCAATGTTTCATTTTAAGGGAAATATATTTCTATTTTGGAGCGTTAATTGTTTGTTGACTAACAATTTTCATATGCAAAGGGACCTTTTTACCCACAAATCAAACGTTATCAAAATGATCTAAGAAAATAATAAGGGCCAAAGTAACAATTAACTCAAATGTTAGTGGCATCATTTGTAGTTATGCCATTAAAAATGCTCGAAATTGACCATCTTTAGCGCTCTCATTAAGCATATTTTATGAAGATGATAAAGATTTGATCTCACCTTTCATATCAAGGAAGGCTCTTCTCACTTTTCTGTAACAGCCATTGCAGTCCATGTTGATCCTCGTCACCATGCAACAAAACTGCAAATGCATGACATGTTTTTGCAGAGAGATTAACACAAATGAAAGGTTCCTTTAAAAGAAGAAATCAAAACATTTTGAATGAAAATGGAGGGGATAACTTGCCCTTTCTGTCATGAACCCTGCAGACTCAAGCAGGCGTTTTCTCAAGATTCCAGGAAAATGGGGGGTTATATACTACAAGAAAGTTTATGCTGAAAGGCAAAATTATGGGAATTTGTTTAAAATGAAAAAGGAATCATGAACAAACTTGTTACACATAATTAAATATACCAAATATCGTTATTCGAATCGCGTACTTAAACAACATAGCCGAGTTGCATGCATAATCGAATTACAAAAATCAATCATAGACTTTAAACCCTAAACCGGATTCTTTTTTATCTCTATAGTAATTGGATTCTGATTCTTTTAGAGGGTAGCTTATTGCCTATTATATATTCTTCACCTATTGGAGTTGTTCCTGTAAGTACATAATTCCATTTCTCTTGTTGGAAAAAGCATCAGTTAATTGCTTATTTGCTAAGCTTTGTTCTCTTTCACACAAGGAAAGGGCATAACTTTGGCCTTAAATTTGTCCCAAATCCAATTAATGAGAGAATAATTTTAGCTTAAAAGATCAAAAGAGCTCAATATTCATGGGAATTTCAACTTTGCTCTGCAATATATGCTAACTGCCATACTTAACATTATCTCAAAATCATTTGGATAAAGCATTTGCAAAGAGAAATAACAAACATCAGCTATATAAAAGTTCCAAGTGATTTTTTTCTCAATCCAGATATACAGGCCCTTTTACATTTCCATCTTACTGCAACTACTCCAAACTGGGTGCAACTTCAGTAGGGTTAGATTCGAAGACGTCTGAACTAGAGGCATCGGGTTGCTCTAAAAGCTCCTGAGATTGGATTGACTCTTTGTATGCAGGAGTCTCCTTAAAATCTGTTGCCCCTTCGTTGTACGTTGCAACGGCAATCCCACAAGCAATCAACTGGTAGTAAAATAGGATGCAGAAAACTTGATCAATCATAAAATGCAGAAAAACAAGCAGAGTATTTTACATGTTCCATGGGTACCAATGAATCATGAAATAAACGACTCAGACACACGCCTTTTCCAACAACAAAAAAATGATACACTAAGGGCTACTCATGGATCTATTGAGTTTGTTGCTAAAATGTCGGTACTAAACTCGAAACTCCCAGTGGGTGCCCAGTGACCCAAGGGAAGAAAGAAACTTTCCAGCAATGAAAAATATATTCTTTGCATTCATCAAATGATATGGAAGCTTTTCAACAATCACAAACTAACAAGCATGGAAATAGATACGGATCCGCAGCCAAATTCTCCCACTAATTTTCAGAACAAGCTTCCCTGCAGATTAACTTGTAAATCTTTTACCAAATAATTTTGCCTCATAATTACCTAGTTAAATGCTTTCAAGTTACTCAATAATATGAAAAAGACTATTCTTGACCAATTGTCTTCAAAGAATTATATAAGATCTGCAACAGGTGAGGAGTTAAAAAGATACTCAGATCGATCAGCCACAAAACTTCTCAAACTCTCTTTTAAGTAATCCAGGAATGAATCTGCAGATAGTCTACATATCATGCAAGAGCGCCTTATCCATTTAGACATCAAGAAAAAGAGAAGGCAGTGAATTATCCAATGAGAAGTATTACAAAAGAGTCGTGCCTAAGGCTGAAAGTTGTCAATTGCCATTTAACTTCCAATCTTCAGCAGTTTTTGCTCATTAAGATCAGATCTCAATTTTGTTAAGTTGTCAATACCATTCTAACCAAATGTTTTAACATTCTATAAAATTTCCATGCAAGGAAGACAGGGGGAGGATATAAAATTTTAGACCACATACACGGAGTCAACTCCATGTTTTACCACAATTGGGAAGACAGGAGGAGGCTTTAAACCAGGTGCTGCATGCTGTCTACCTTCCATGATTCCTCATCCTAAGCTACCTGGAAAGCAGATCAATCCAAACGAGAAACGGAAGCTAAAACGTTTATCACTGTTTACCAGTAGGCAGTAATTCCCATCCTATGATACATAATTTGATAGGTGTAGTCCCCTATTTGATCTGAACAGAATTCTTCAAATCCAAATCCAAAAATTTCCTTTACCCTGTATGCAGTTGTTATATCTCCATAGATAGTCTCCAGAAACTACCAGCTCTCTCTGTCAGTTGAGGCCTCCAAATAGATCCCCTTGATCACCCAAGCTTCTAAGAAATTCATGTCATAGGCTCACGTGAACTACTAGAGCGATATCCGAAATCTAACTATTATTTCTATTTAATTTGCTGCCCTATATACAGTAGTGATAATTACCCTTTGTCTAATACAATAAAAGTTCCTAATTTTTATTCAAACAAACTAATTAAGATATCAAAAAATTTCAGGCATCACTAGATCAAAAACTGAACAACGAGAGAAAAACAGAAAAGAAAGGCAGTGTTAAGAGCTTTGAGAAATACCGCAAAAACGATGCCGAAAGCCCACAAATACTGAACAAGGAATCCAAGAACATCCCACTGCGGACCTTCAAATGGATCCGGCTGAAGACCCGGAAGATCCGGAAACGGTTTGCCGTCAGTCGAAACCGCAGACGAACTCCCACCAAGTCCAACGTTATCTAATCCAATTCCAACAATGCCATCGTTTTCTTCTTCATTTCCATCCTTCCTTTTTCGCTCCAGTTCATCATCTTGTTCCTTGGTCGTGAGATTGCTCCTCCTGTTCTTGCTATCGTACCGTCCGGTTCGGAACTTCTTGGCAGCTGAGGTTAGGTGAAAGGTTCTGGGGGAGGTTGGGAGGAGAAGGCGGCGGCGACGGGAGAGAGCGGCAGGTAAGTGGTTGGGGCGGAGGATTCGGACCCCATTTCCAGTGCTGTAACTACAACTGCCATTGCTAATGGTCAACGTTAGCGCCATTGAGTGGAGAGCAGCGAGCAGGATAAGAATTACAAGATTTTTTAATTTAATGATAACGGTTTATTATTATTTTTAAGGAATTTCTCATTGGTTTTATTTAATCCATGGGCTCTTCCCAATCTGACCGGCCCAAGTTCTTTTTTAATGGGTAAAGTATATAGAGTATTTTGTTGAGTCCATCAACGATTAAAAATTATAAAATAATATTTCGATCAAAGGGTGTTGCTTTGTTGAATCATTCGATTATTAGAAAAAATTATTCAACTATTCATATATTTGAAATTCATCATTTTCTGTTAAAAATTAATTGTCGTCTAAACTGGCCGTCAACATGTTAACTGAGATATGATAAAATAACCATTTGAGTTGTATAGTTGTTTGAGATTCTGGATCATATTTTACTATATTTTAGTCAACATGTTAACGTCAAATTTAGATTGTCACCAATTTCTATAAAAAATGACGAGTTTAAAATATATGAATAGTTGAGTGATCATTTCATAATTTTTAGGGTAAAATACACCATTCTTCAATGAACTTTACTCTTTCCTATTTTACTCATTGTACTTTTAATTTTATAATTTAATTACTAAACTTTCGAATTACTTCTGTTTTGATAACTCTAAATTAATTTACTCATATGATGCAATTAACTCTAAAGAAAACTAAACTAAACTAAACAAGAAAAAGCACATAAGGCAAAAAAAATGTTAGAAGCAAATTAATTTAAAAATGGGTACAAAAATGTACCAAAAAAGGAAAGAAAATAGTAACTTAATTTACATTTGCAGTAGATTGACATTTTTCTAATTCTGGATAATGCTGATGAACGAAAATACTGGGATTTTACAACTTCGCACCTCACAGCACAACAGCCAAAATTATAAACATGAGAATAAAAAAAGAATAAAAAAATCATATAAATTTTGATTCAGTTTAAAGAAATAATATTTTTTTTTTGGGGAGATGATCATACTTGTATCGTCAATGTTATTTGTTTATCCGAGCAGATGCTAGCAGACCTTCTTACTTCAATCGACTCTTCGATCTCTTCATGATTTCCTTCGACTGGATTCCTATCATTGTTCTCCGAAGTTTGTGTTGTTGCAGTTTGTGCTTTGTCTGTCTGCATCGGGTTGTCGCCATCGGCTGCATTGCCCTCGGCGTCCGGTTCTTTTCATAGGCCGAAGAATTTATCTTCAAGCAAGTCAGGGTGTTGGACAGATCATTGGTCGGAACCGTTTTCTGTAAAGTTTTACCTTCACCGTTATCTTCTAGCTTGTTTGTCATATTGGCTTTTGATGATGGATAGATGGGCGAGAATGGCTTACGAACCAGTGGCGGATCTACTTCGTTGGCATTTGCAGCATCCGACGAGTGCTTTCGAAAGGGAGTGCCGGCAGTTTCCAGGCATCTGTTAACTGCAAATAGAGAAAGTGTAAGGCTTTCATAACTTTTGGCTTGCCCAGCAAGAATCAAAGGTGCTTTAGTAGTTAGTGCACATATACAAATAAACATATATATGTACACACACATATAAGTCATTAATGTGATAAATATTTACAAGAATATGTAACTTTCTTGAGCAGCTACATAGTTAAATCGAGAAATGAATCTGTAAATCAGATTTGGGTAGGTAAAATTCTTCTGGTGTGGGGGAAAGCTAAGATCAGTGGCGGATGCACTAAGCCCCCATAGGGCCAAGTGCATCTCATTATTTTGGAAAAGTGGTTAAATTTAGCTTAATGTGTTAAGGAAAAAAGAAAAAAATTACAATTTTTGAATACCTATTATTTTTAAGAAAATAAAATTAAAATTTTGGACCCCCTATTCTTAAATTTCTGAATCAGCTACCGGCTAAGATTATGACTAATCTTAAACACGGATACAACATGAATACACGGATTGACAAGTCTAACCGAGAAGTTCTTGACTGTAACAAGCACGGACAGAGAACTTACAAGCTGGGAAAGCTGGAATAGCATCATCCTGCCAATGATTTAAACGGTCGTCTCGAAACATAAGCTCAGTTTTCTTACTAGAACGTACTTGAGGAGTCCTTGGGAAATCAACTGAATCAAGTTTAAGCATTGATCCTCCCAAGGCGGATCTTTTAAAGCTAGACTGCTTGGAATACTTTTTTGCACTCTGCGGCTTTGATAGGCTTAGTTTTGAACGATGAAGTAATCCTGGCTCCACTATTATCCGTCCCTGAAGTTTCTTCTGGTCCTGAACAACAAAAAATGACTACGAAGATCAACTTCAACAAGGAAATTTCCACATAATTACATACAGCCTAGTTTCATAAATTGGTGAAACAATATTAACATATGCACTGTGATCCGGAAATGAGTTCAGTTATCTTACCCGCAACTTATTGCGTTGTTTCTCTTAATCCTCTCGTAAAGTAGCGATTTTCGAGCATAGAAAGGAGAGGAATCTGGATAGCATAGAATTGGTCAGTTTGATAGACCTTGCAATTTGTGTATTGTTTTCGTGTCATACTTTCGTTTCATATTTATATAAATTTTGATGCGTTAACAATTTGTGTCATATAGATTTTGATATATGTAGTTGAATCGTGCTTAGATTTCTTTACTGCCGTCTAATATAGTTAGTTATACAGTTAGATACCAAAGTGTTAGCAAATATGGAATATGAATATTAAAGGGGGGAGGGGGTAAGTTTTTAGAGCACGCATACCATCATACAGAAATTCATTCTCTCTCTCCTCTTCCCAAGCCATGGTCTTTTTAGTCAATGCCTCAGTCATTCCTGAATTAATTGATATAGAACAGTTTCAGCACGTGTTACCTAATTCTACTCAAAACAGGTAGAAAATAGAAATTCAATGGAAGAAATCTCAAAATTTGGGCAACATGGTGTGAAATGGTAACTACAAATCTATGTTTAGTTGTGTCACCATGTACCTGGAAGTTTATTAACCAAGGCACGAGCATTCTCAGCACGCTTGAGGGAAATATGAGTTCCTCTTCCAAAATTATATCGGTTTTCGTCATTTCAAATAACGTACAATGAAGCAAGGTTACCATCCTAGGACCAAAAGAAAAAAAAATCTGAAGAGATTACAAAAATGCTCACCCTGTTATATTCCTCAAGCCAACGCTCCTCCACATATGCCGCCAACCATTTATCGACCTTTTCAAGTATTTCTTTTCTGCTAAAAGCTTCCTCTTTAACCTTGGCGATACAAAATTCAATTTGTTCTAGATTGGTTGCAGCATCAACAACTCCTGAAGATATAAAGAATGACAGTGACTAGGAAAAGGGGAGAAAAAGTTTGGCATAACAAATGGTCTGATGAAAATGATTTATCATTAGCATGTACCAGACTCAATAGCTTCAGTGGCATCTTCTAATTCAGTGTCCGGAACCAGGTGTGTCTTCCTGCAGAAATCCTTTAGCTTTGATATCTTCTTGAGGACAAGCTCTTTCATTTCACTCGACTTTAAATCTTCCAACCGAGAAACTTCTGCATCAACCTGCACAATATAGCATATTTATTTCTCTATTAATCCAGAGTAAAGCAATTACCTACCTTTAGAAATGTATAGAACCAAGAGAAGATCAGCTAAACTGGTCCCCTTTAAATATGTATAGCTTACATTGTTGATAAAATCCTCAGATAGAGTGTTGATTTCAGTAATTTCATCTTATGAAGCAGATATGCTACGTGTAACATTCTGAAATTTCTGATCCTCCTCAATCGGTGTATCCATCAGATGCCACAACTCCATCATGGTAGTTGCAAGATCTTGCAGCTGTAAAGTATCAAAGAATCACTATTATTATCAGAGAGAAAGGAGAGGACAATGATTTCGCAGTATGCAAAATAAATTCATTTTTACCCTTTCCATCCTCTGTATCTTAACTTCCCGCAACCTATTTATTGTTGCACCTAACAACTCAATTGTATTATTGCTAATACTCCTCAATCCTTCCAATTCACCTAAACTAGGATGGACCTCGGTAACTATGAGCTTAAACCCATACCCATCACTGAGCAGAGGGAGTTCAACATGTTAAGGAGGTCCTTAACCTGCTTCAGCCGATTACTCTGCACAAGAGAGATGAGTCAGCAAGCAAAAGATAAGTAAAAGTCTTCATGAGGCGGAAACAATAAAGAATTGAAAAATTAAAGAAATCTGACCTTCTCTTTCTGAAGTTCATGTAGCTGACTGTGCAATTCTTCAAGCTTCAACAAGGACAAGTCAGTTTCATCTACAAGTATTTCTGAGGAAATTGATTCCGTGGATCCACTTAACTCATTTCTTATCATTTGTATTTGGTCCAGGACGTCTATGAAGTGATTTCTTCTTTCTATTTTCCTTTTCTTCATCTCCTCCACCTGCGGAAGAATTTTCCCGAGATTTTCCTTCGAGTTTCCAATTTTTAGATCTGACTGAAAATCTTTGGACCATAAGTAAGTAGTTTAATCTAATAGGAATCATTTCATCCAGAATTTATTGTTCTTTCATTCCTGACCTGCCTAACATGCACTGGCCTCTTCCCCATTGCTGAACAGATAGCAGAGAGTTCGGCTTCATTATCAGCAATTGTATGCCTCATATTAGCTTCAGAGAGCTTTGCGTTCTTCTGTATACTTCCACATACTCCCGTTCAAGCTCAAGCAGCATTTCATCTCTGTCAGCATCTTTCTCTCCGATTTCATCCCAGATGATCTAATGATGTTTTTCAAGGAACCAAGAAATGGTAAATATTATATTAGTGTTAAATTTTTAGAATATAAGCAGGGAAGAGGAATATTTGAACTGGGAATTATCTTGCCAAGAGACAAAAATAAAAGATTTAAGGTATCTTCCGTGTGGAATGTTCAACAATACCTGAAGTTCTCATAGAAGGGTTTTATAAGTTGTTCTAATTGAACAAGTGGATCAATTCGCGGAGTAGACATGTGAATTATTCATTAATTCCTGACAAAACCAATATCTTCACATTATAAACCATCCCAAATTATACACCTAGAGCAAGCTAGGAGAATAAAAAAAGAAAAACTCAAATTTCAGATGGCATAAAATGTGTAAAAGGTGGTCGTTTATATAAGTTTTAGCGGGAAGAATGAGAATCAAGAACAATGAGACTGCAAAAACAAAAAGTTAAAGACAAAGTATATTGCATTGGGACATGAAAATGGCTAATTATTTTTCTCCCAACTCTAAATTCCTAACACGAGGTAGCTTTTTTTCTGGAGTATAATAAACTGCATCCAAATTTTGATATAGTGATTGTCCTAAGACATTAATTTTGTTTAATATTTTTTTTGAATAGTCCGGAGTGATTATAAGATAGTATCTATTCAAAATATTTCTTAGCCATTGACAACGCACGCACTACAGACGCAACTGCTCGAACTCGAAACCTTTAGAAAGAACAACACTCATTTTTACAATTGATATTAGTTTTGCTTACTATCTCATATATAATGCATACAGCATTCTGGATTTCCATAGTTTCTAACTTAAGCTAAAATGAAATTTAATCTATAGAATTGATTATAAATGATATATTCGATTGAAAATGAAAGGGGAAAAACTGACATTTGATCCAAGCTTTTTAACAACCTTGTTTACCGCTCAATAACACAGAAAAATGATTTCATTCTAATATCTCAAGTTATCAATCACCAAAAATGATTCCAGATTAGCAGTAACAATATAATAACAAAGTCTACAAGAATTAGCCTCAGTTTTCACGGAAAATGACACAGGGGATATAAACACTAATGAACCAATTTTAACGACCTTGTTCACCTCTCTATACACTAAATCGTTGATTAAATGTAAAAAAATTAAATTAACTGATCTCCAATTAACTGACGATGAACAATTACATTACCATAAGAGAATATAAGAATTCTCCATTTTCACAAAATTGAAGAACAGGAGATAAAAGCTTTAAGCTCTCGTCTCGCTTTTTATCTCTACGTTTTCTAGTGAGCAAAACATAAAAAGAAAAAAAGGTGCAGAGTTGAAGACAAACCTGAAGAAAGAGAGATTAAGAGGAACGGTTTTCCCTCTCAGAAGATTTGTGTTTGTTTCATAGGAAGAACAAAAAAAAAGGACTTGGAGAAGAAAATGAAAGGTTACCAAAAAGACGCGCGAATTGATGTATGAGGTCAACGAGTGCGTTAAAAACCGTTGGATAGCGCAGGTTTGTTACTAAAGATTATAGGGTAAACTGCGCATTTAGTCACTGATTTATTCTTGCGGTTTTGTTTTATTCAACTAACTATTTTTTCTTCAAAATTATATTTAACTTACGTTTTAGTCATTCACTATTAAATAAATAAATAAAAGTATCGATGTGATATTTTTTCTTCCAATGATGACATTGCATTACCTTGTGATGACATGTCAGCATTATTATTAATTTTTTAAAGACGGATGATTGAAACGGAATCAAAATATAACGTTACAATAATTTAAAAAAATAATTTAGTGACTAAAACGAAACTACGATAAAACATAGATGACTGAATACAAAATGTATCCAAGCTTATATAACAAATAGGTTCTCGTGATTTCGTGGGATGATTAGTAAGTTTAAATCTCTTTGTGGTGTAATCATTGCTTTGATCCAAAGTACACAGCATATGATCTCATCTTTCATTTTAAAGATTCTCCTTGATAATTTATTTTAAAATCTAATAAAATTATCTAATAATTTATAATTTCTTCTTTTAAAATGGAGCCATTCTTTATATCAAAGGGATGTCAGTTTGATTTTGCCTAGATGGCTTTTCTCCAGTATCATGCTCTCTTTCGTTCATCTGCCGGTATTCCCGCCGTTGCCTTCGACACAACGAAGCAATTTTGGATTGTACCAACTAACAAACCCTTCCCCCTCCTTACAAAATTATGGTGTCACCCATTCATTCCATCAAAATCCGTTTCTTTCTTTTCTTTCCTTTTCCTTGCTTCCTAGTTTGCTCTCACTTTGCACAGAGAAGGGAGAAAGGCCAGATCCAATGGATTTTTGAAAGTTTGACAACTTTCTCTCTCAATTCTTGGAACAAGTTCGATCGATAGAGATAGATAGAGAGAGAGGGGGGGGGTTTGCAATTTCACGACGATTTCTTTTTTGTTGGTTAATTGGGAAACAAACAAATCAACGAGAGATTATGTAAGAAAAGATTGCACGGTTAAAAATGAAAAGAAATGTTTGAATTGTGGGTTTCTTAAATTCCGTCGTTTTGCAGAGAGGATTTGGGTGAAACACACACGCACAAAGGGGAAATAAAAGAATGGTTGTTGAAATCGCTCAAGAGGAGCAATTTTATTCCATCGAAGAATCCATTGAGGTTGGACAGTTTTTTGATATCGAGTACGAGTTTGATGCACCGCAATGCTATGATTTCAGTTGCCCAGAAACTGATTGGGAGGCTAAAGAAGCCGAACTCTGGTTTGAATCAGCTGGAAGCTATCCGTCTTCTCGTAAGCCTTTTCCTGTGTTTTGTTTTTTATGATCGAATCATTACACTATCACAACCCGTGATTTAAATAGCGGTCCACTAGCAGAATAGCGGCTAGCAACCGCTATATAGCGATAATGGTGCCATCTGAAACCGCTATTACAAGATCATGTTAAGCACCGAAAGCGCGGATGCAACCGCAATTTAAATTCTTGGTCACAACCTTTTTATTGGAAGCTTTTCTGATAATCTTATAATATATTTTAATTTTCTGCTTTGGTAGTAAAGTTGAAATGGAGATATGAATATGATGCATATGAGGATGGAGAACATGACAACGGCTCAACAGAATGTGATGAATATAATGGAGGTATATTCTTGTCTTCATGATTTTTTTTCTTCTGTTTTTTTGTTTAATTAGGATGGTAGTTTATAATCGGTGCTTTTCTTTGCAACTTTTGTTTGTTTTGGCAGAGTCACTTTGTAGAGATTATAATATGGTTTCGTTTTAAGAATAGTTCATTTTTATTAATCTGCCAAAAGAGAATCAATGACTAAAAAAGAGAGCCTAGAAATGCAATTTACTAATGTTCTTCCGTCCCTCGTTTCATTTGTGGATCAGAAGCATGTGATAGGTGCTGCGAAGGTAATCTCAGGGTGAAAACTGATTCTCTGGTCAAGGCATCTCTATCTCGGAGTTCAACGTTGATGAAACCTACAGCAAGTTACTTGGCAAAGCAAAATCAATCTCGAATGGTTGTTTCCAATCAATATCAGAAAAGGTGTTACTCTATTATTATCGGATACCATTATATGCTCTGACATTGATAGCTAGAATTCTGGTTTAATATGAATTTTGGCCTCAAATTCAAGGTTAATTCTCTATTGGAGTCATGGTAAATTAAAAGGTGTTAACCGGTTGGTTCCTTTACTACACAGCTTACAAAAGCCTGCTGACAGATTCAATAAGAGTACTTCCTGCAATGAAGATGATACTACCAAAAGACAAAAGCTGGAAGAAGGCTACTTATGCAAGGTGCTGTCACTTATGTTTATCTGATACAAGATTGGACCTTGTTTACCTGTATTTTGGTTCAAATGCTCTCTTTGTTTCTGGAACCAGACCAATCATTATGATTCACTTGTGAGAATGTCTGAGTTTACCTCCTATAATTTTCCATGTGATGTTGAAAATGGAAATAATCTGACTGGTCAGATTTTAAGTGGTAGGGATTCTGGGAAAGCAATATACACTTTGAATATGTTATGGCCAAGAGTATATTGTAACCCAAGCTGTAATTTGGCTGATGATATTGTTATCCCTCTCCTTCTTAGTTGTATGTATCATGGCATATAGCTGTGTTTCTGCTTTGGCTTTTTGTTAGTTTTACATGTTACTTCGCTGTTTTTTTTTGGTTTTATTTGAAACTACATATATAGCTGAAATTCATTTGCTAACCATTGGATTTTGTTCTAAGAGCATGTTCAATAATTCTATTTTTTGCAAAGCAGGCTGCCCATTTGAAGCATCGATCTAAGTTTGTGCACAAGAAACTACAAACAGTAAGTTGTAGGATTAAGAAAGTGTTTTTTGTTAGTCTAATGTCAGTTGTATTTTTCTTTTGTTGCTAACTACCCGGGGTTAATTTAAACATGCCATCACCATGTGTATGTGTTTGCAGGGACAATAAATCTGTAATAACGATTGAGCTAACATTATCGGTTTTCTAAAAACTCTGAGTTTGTTGTCCAGGTCCAATCCCTTGATAGTGTTCATATTAAAACTAAAGTCACAATTCCAAGAGAACCAGAGCTACAAACAGCAATAAGGCTCAGAGACATAGGTACAATTGATTTCCTATCATTCATCCCGAGATTTATTTATTTATTTATTTTGCTTTGCTTAAAAGCTGATAACCAAATGGTGACAATTTCAGGTCTAAAGATAAGGCAGAGTCAGATGGAAATGCAAAATCAAATGTTCATTTGTTTAAAGCACTCCCCTTAAACAGAAAAGTTAGTACTTTTAGATCTAAAAACTAATTTTCACTTGAATTTTTCTGGAACAAAATTATGTAGAGAAATTTATAGTATCTTTGATGTTGAATGTGTAGTCTCAATATTTTCTTTGGATTTGATAGATTCTTGCTGCACCTTCATTTCCCCTTTCCAAGAAAAGCATGCCTCAGCCACCGGAGTTTCAGGTATTTGATAGCCACTGGAACTTACTATTTTGTCTCCTCTTGTGATTGCCTTTCTTGTCATTTTCATGAGGAATCCTTCATAATCCATTTTTGGGTAATTTTGTGACATAGAATATACTTTGTTTCTCTGCTTTAGATGTTTCATCTGAGGACATCTGAGAGAGCCAAGCAGCATGCATATAATACGGTTGGTTATTTATATTTTTATCTTATACTGCTCTAGTATTTATTTTTAAGTGTTCTCTCAAGTTTTAACCCTATTTGGGTTCTACATGTCGGTACTATTTTCAGTTTTTGGGACTTAAGAGTTAATAATGTCCTCTTTGCAGGCAATGAAAGTAGCTATGTATGTGTCAACTTCAAGAAATGAAACACCAGAAGGTAATATTACTTTGGCTTTTAGCTTCACTCGGTTTTTTCTCTTCAAAGCTTTTGCATTCCTTCCATCTCTTGATGTTGTTTTCCTTTGTTTGCATAGCTTCAAGTCTATCAATTCATTGAAGGAGGAGAAACATGAAGCTGTTAACAAATCTAAAGCTTGTTCTCCTAATAAGAAGGTTGTTCGGATATACCGATTCTTCCTTGTTCTACAGATATTAAAAATAATTATTGAATATAGAACTATTTTGTTGGCTTTTCAGGTAACTTCTAGTAAAGGTGTCCTCCAGAATATGAACAAAACATCAGCCACAACGAGGCTTCCAGATGAACCAGCAAAGGAACTATTAAATAAAGTATTAAATCTTACTTTTTCCAATATATATTCAGCAACAACCTTTAGCCTGAAATGAACCATCTATTTTTTTTTGGACTATCCACACCTTAAACATCCTTAATAGAATTTCTCAATCTGCTCTTGATTTGGGTTTGATAATATTCTGCTGCTCGCTTGCATGTATATCTAGCTCTCGCCGTCTTCTGAAATGTCTAAAGAAAAAATGGCTATTTCTGAAGTTGGTTCCCTCAAATTTTTTATTTTTTTGGAACCTAAAACATGTATATGAATTGTATTCTTATTAAGTTCTTCCACTTGTTGAATTAAGGGATCGAAAGAGAATGAGCCAGGTAATCTGCTTCTGCAGCATCAGGTACATTGAATGACGATTATATGCACCCACTAGATCACAGAATTGAAGTAATTTGACACATCTTCCTCCTGATCATTGCATTAACATTGAATATAAAATGTGGAATTTGTAGATCATGGAAGTGGTCAAAGCACATTTGCAAAAGAATGGAAAAGTGCAGTACCAGTGTAGAAGAGAAAAGAATATTGGAAATGGGCGACAAGATAACATTAGTAGGTATAGCCTATTTTACCCTGTAGTATTTGAGAGCTCCCTACTTTTGTCAGTAACTTTTATCTATTGATTTTTTTACTTTTATTTTTTGCTATAACATCTTGGCCTCAGAAGCTTTTGCTAGTTAAATTTATGCCGGTGTTTCTAGTTTAGCTTGATGGATCAAGAATTAAACACAAACTAACCTGTTGGCAAAAACAGTTGTGTTTTTAGTTTTAGAGTTCTCATGCAGCTAAAGATTTTCACGCGTAACAGGTCAGATATCTGGATTCTGGGCTCTGCGGTATCTTGACGATTGATGACTATTTTTTTATCATCGGAAATTCAAGAATTACATCCATATAAACATTGGATGACTTACTTAGCCCAAGACATTCTAATCTGTGACCAGGCTGCCATTTTTTGGTTTCTGCAACTGAAGCACTTGCAACTCTGTCTTAGGCAGATAGGATATAAACTCAGAAGCACTTATCGTACAAACCAAAACTACCTCGTATAAAAGCACCTTTCTTGTAGTTTCGGAGAAGGGTTGAGTGCTTAAAATGAACATGATAGTCTTGAATTAGGCCATTAGCCCAGGTCTTCTTATTTATGATTGAAACCAAATCATCTTCTTGTTCATCACTCCTTAACATATCTATTTCAGGTACTATTTACATTGCATATCTTTGAATATGTATAAGTGTGTGTGCGCGCGTGTGTTAGGATCCACTTACACGGTGTAAAACTTTGTTTTTTAGTTTTACACAGATTTAAGACCGTTGGATGAGTGAAGTGAGATTAGCTCGTTCTTTTAGGGAATATCTTCTCATTTCTTACTGTTAATCTCGATAAATGAATGATCTGTTTGAAGTAGACATTTAAGAAAAAGAATCTTATTATCTTCATTTTCATTTTTTGGGAATTTTTGTCACAGGAGATTGAGATTGGATGTAGTCTGAAATCCCTCTGTAGTTTTGGTGGTCACCTTCATCTGGCGCTTCAAGCGGGCAAAGCAAGCAAGCAAGCTTTTGTTGGAAGCAGTGTATACTTATATAAATAATTGAATTGTATTTATTCCTTGAAAAGAAAGAAAAGAAAAGAAAGCATTTGAAAGAAATAGCAATGTACAGCAGACGTGAGATTTTGTTAGCCTTAGTCATGATTTCCATTAAAGGAGAAAAAGAGCATAAAATGTACATCATGGAAGCTGTATATAAATAAATGAACTGTATTTATTCCTCCATTCTTTATGGAAACATCTTTACAGACTAGCCATGCTAAAAGTTGAGCTAAATTTGAATGAAAAATGTTTAAAATTCGATTAATTGGGCTCTGAGTGAGTTTGATTCATGTATTCAGTCGGATGAAGCTTTAGTATTAATTAAAAAGATAATTATTTGGGATACGCTTGTGGAAAATTTTGTGGGTAAACTACACATTTGATAACTGAATCTTACTCTACACTATTTTACTACTGTGCTTTCAATTTCAATTCACTCACTCAACTTTATACATTGATTTTTTTTTTTGTTATATGTGGTTCTGGTGTTGGTCTCCCAAGAAATGGAGCCATAGTCATTTTGAGGACAAGGCACCGTCTCGAAGTAACAAAACTTTAGAGCCCTTTCCATTGACGGATTTGTCTCGGTTAGCCATCCAAGCAACCGTCTCCTCCTTGGACCTGGCGATTTAAATTGCGATTGTTGACATGATAGGTTATTGCGGTGATCGTAAGTATCACGATCATACATAATGAACACGGACGAAACCGCTACTGCTATATAGCAGACGCTATTGCGGTACGGACCGCTATTTAAATCCTAATATTAAGCATTTTTACCAACACCATAAAAGCTACAGATAAACGTGACGTCTAAAGAAATCAATAGGTCTGAGTCATCTTCGACAGACAGATAGGTCCTCTCTTGATTTTTACCTCCATTTTTGCCGTGTATATCTCTGGTTTGGGAGTTGGATTTTGGGTTAGAAGGTTTTGAGTAGAACTTAAAAATTTAATGTATAAAGTTAAGTGATTAAATTGAAAAAAATAAAAATTCAGTAAATGAAATAGAAGAGAGAGTAAAGTTCAATTGCCAAATGTATAATTTACCCAAATATGCCCTTGATAATAGTTCTAATCAAAATAACAAATATATAAAGCAAAAAATATGCAAATACAGAGGAAGATGGTTTTCATCAATGGTGGAATATAGGAAAGAGGAAGATGGTGGATAAAGATGGTGAGGGAGAATAATAGGAAGAAGAGGGGTTAAATTAATAGAATATTTAAACTAAAGCATACGAGAGTTTTTTCAATTCGAACCAAAGTATGATGGGTATAACACATGTTAGATAGGATTTAGTAAACCATGTTCAGGTAGATATCATATAGATTCGATATAATTTCTAAAAACCCAACCTCAATTAACCAAAAGATAGGTGGCGACTCAAAAAAAAAAGTTTTTTCGCTCAATCAAGATCTAATTTGATGTCCAAAGACAGTTCCGACAAAGACAGCAAAAAAGTTCTCTATATCAAAAAATTAATAATATTCTTCTTTTATGTAAACTTTGACATGCATAATCTATATGTATTGAACAAACAATTCAATGATCAAATTGTTAAAAGATTTTTTTGGACAAATAGTTACAAGAGTGTATAAAACTACACTAATTTTATACTAGTGCAAGTAGATTCCTTCTCTCTGTGTGTGTGTGTGTGTGTATATATAAGTCCTGAGTAACACATTCTAAAAGACAATTTGCAAAAGAAAATAGACATCATACTCCAAGAAATTTCTCAAACTGATGCACAGAGTCTTGAACCTTTTGGGAACTCTTTGAATTTCGGGTGGTTGACATGAACTATCTGATTCCACAATTCGAATACCATGTCTAAGCGTTACCATGTTCATATAAAAAAAATTAACCACTGTGACTAGTCTCAACCGTTTTAGTTGCAAGATGAGTGCAAAAAGAACATTTCCAGCACATACAATGCATATCCTAGATTACAGTTGCTGTAAGCAACGGAGACACCTTCAAAATAGAAAAAAATGGAAAAGGAAAAGATAAAACCTCTTTAAGATGACAGGAACTTAATCCTCCTCGTGCTAATGGCCTAAGGCACTGGATCCGCATCATGCCATCCCTTCTTGCATGGTGGAATGGTCATAAATTCGTCAAATTCCTTTACATATATGTCGCAGCACTTCCACTGCAAAGAGATAAGAATGAATGACGGATGGTAAGAATAGAAAAGGATAGCAAATAATATTTAAAATATTGTATTAGATTGCAACATTTAATCATAAAAAGGGATTATATAGCATACCCCTCTCACTCGATCATGGAAAACGGCAGGTCCCGGATGATAACTACATGCAGTCTCATGGTTATCAATTTCTTTGAAAACTTTACCACATCCTTTATTTTTGCATGTCTGAGGCTGGTTTATATCAACTATCTTCTTGGGTGGAGAAGACTCCTTGACATCTGCACTGCTGTTTGCGGGTGCAACCGGGCTGGGGTTCTGTGCTTTGGGCTGTGAACCTACAAGGTAGACAACTTCATCTCTATAAATGATAGTATAGCAACATAGTAGAACAAGATCACCAGTTTTATCTACTATTAAGAAATAACTGATGATTACAAATTCTAAGATGCACATAATATTCGAATATTACATTGGCACTTGCAAAATATAAACCTCAAAAACTTAGGTTGAAGTTCCTAAACAGTCAGCATACCATAGTAAAAGTACAATTTAATTTTATACAATATACCGAGTAATTTCATCATCATATGGTGCAAACAAGTAAAATTGGTAACAATATTAACGAAAAACCATCTAAATGTTGAGTTGTATCTATTGTTAGATTCCAACTCATGCTCCATCAGAACTTAGAAATCCTTGCCATCACGTAGATGGTTTTTCCATTAACATTGAAATCAATTTTACTTGTTTGCACTAATACCAAATCCACAAGGATTACAATATTCAGTAGGCTCTGCCTATATATTTTTAGCCCAAAACTGAAGAACTCAGAAACCAACCATTAATCATATCCAGGTTTCCGAATACTTCAACTTCTAAGAAGTATACAATACAATATTTGGATATTATTGCTTGCAAAATATAAAAAGGGAATGATGATCATAATGTAGAATGGGAAACTAAATATTTAATTTCATGAGATAACCAAAGCTGTGCCAATTTCTCAAGATAAATAGCATGCCGCAGATAAGGGAATGATGATATACTGGATTTTGTTTTTTGGGGATGATGGGTGCACTTAAAATTTCATTTAACCCACTTAAGCCATGATGTAAATACATTGACCAAAGGAAAGGAATACCCATAAAACAATATGTTAATCTTTTCACTAAGATTTTAATGTGCCATTGTGCCCTATTTAAGATAATATTCATTGTAACTTGTAAGTGACCTAAATAAAATTTTTTATTTCTTTTGTTTTTACTATGGCTAATAACATGATTTTTTTATATAATTCTAGAGAAAAACAGCATGAGAACGAACTATGATCATACCATGATCAGAGCAAAAGAAACCCTGAGAGCACCTAGGGCAAGATTCTTTTGATGTTGCACTGGTGGAAGCAGTAACAACAGGAGTAGGAGTTCGAGTCGTCTTAGTAGCAGATGGCTTATTCAACACTGGCTTCTCCGTTGTGTGCGTACCTGTCTTACATCTGCATTGAAAAAATACACAATGACTAGATGCAAATGAATGATTAAATTTAATAGAACAGAGAACTTCCTTCTCCATAGAATTGAGGATTCCAAACATTCAATCCTTCTCTGTATTATTATTACCTACTCAGAAAAGCAGTACAAATCATAGAACAAGACCTGAAAGAATTAAGAGAAATACATACCCAGGAATTTCTAGGAATAAGCTGAAATCATGGCTTCTTTTTTTGCAACAGCTCCATTCTTTCATTCCATCATGAAATATAGGCTGGAAAAGAAATTTAAGTTTGCAGCATCAAAAGATATTATCAAAAGAACAAAAATCATTTATTTTAATAAATTTATACTTACACCCTTTTTGCATACATTCACCCATACAAAGAAATCGAGCCAACATGCAAGACAAAAAATGATTCACAAGATATAATAACATTCCGAAATCCATACTTAACCATTATTGTCTATGATTAAGAAACCCTTATTCCAGGAAGGGGCAAATGGATAAACAAGCTGATAATACTGTAAACAACATGCACATAAATCCAAGATATATTTCTTAAACTGCTAGGGAGGGAGGTATAACACAAATATGTACAAAATTTATAACCGGAAAACAGAAACCCTAATGGTTTTAATCATTAGTGGAAACAGGGAAGAAAAGCAACTATCAAATCAAACATAGATAGGGTTAACTTTAGTTTATTTTTAAGAATACACTAAATTCAAAACGTGAAAAAAAAATAGATGGTATTACTATCATATTGCAAGAGTAAACTATGCAGGCAAAATAAATCAAAGGAAAGAATAACAATAAAGAGACTGAACTTTATATCTCATTTCGATAACACCAAATCATCACTTCCTATTTATAGTTTATACCTTAATAAGCCTAAATCAATTTTATTAGAATAAAACCTAATTTGATTACAAATCAAAGCATAATAAAGGCCATTTCAAAGAAAAGGTAAAGCAGTCTCTAGGGTTTCTTTAGTATTTCAACCAATTTAAATCTAACTTCAAATACTAACCGAGGGGGAGATTCAAATTGTTGCATTTCAAAACTAAGTACCAGTTATCAAGAGGTAGAATATATATCTAATTTTGATTTGGGCATTACAATTAGCAGCTGGATACGACATGTAACCCGGTGAAATTAAAACCCAATCATAGACTATGTGAAACAAAAAAAAAAGGAGAAATTAAAGGAGGGGTACGAATACCGAATCGTGGAAACAGCAGGAACCCTCGGGATTATCGTCTTCGGTGAACGTAGCGTTGCAGCCGATTCTCTGGCACCGGAGCTTAACAGCTTGCTCCGCCATTAATAAGGCTTTTGAAAATGCTCGTCTTGCTTGTTAAACTACCTTCTGATTTTTCCCCGTTTAATAACTCTGTTGACTTAGACGACGGCGATGAATCGGGAAGCCAAGCGAAGCGTATCGCGATTTCTTCAAGTTATTTTTTAGGTAAATTACAAATTTATCACTAAATGTTTTTCTCTCCTATTTTCCTCACTTAACTTTAAAAGTTTCTAATTTTATCACTAAACATAATACATTAGTTTTTTTATCATTAAATCTTATTTTCTCTCCTATTTAAGTCGCTCCGCCGTTAAATAGTTAACAAAGTTAGAAACAATTTCATTTTAAAAAACCATAATTTTCTCCAAAATGATATCATTTTACATTTATATAACAATTCATTTTAACATCATTAATTATTTAAAGGTCGAGTGACAAAAATATATATTAAATTTAATAAAAAAAATAAAAAAGATTTAATATACAATAAGTGAAATAAGAGAGAATAATATTCATCATGGTTATCAAAATCGGACCGGACCGACCGGTTGAACCGTGAACCGGTGGCTTGTCCGGTCCGGTTACCTCACAAAACCGGTATGGCAATGAACCGATTGAAAATCGGTAAAATCGGGGTGAACCGGCTGAAAATCGACAAAACCAGTTTGAACCGCCGGTTCACTTTTTTTCTTTTAAAAAAAATTAAACCAAACGACGTCGTTTTGTTCAACGAGTCAAGTCAAATTCGAGTATTGCTGAGCTCGATTTGAACTCGAAAACTTTAAAAGTAAGCTCAACTCGACTCAAAAACTCACGAGCTAAAAATTATCAAGTTCAACTCGAACTCGAAATATAATATTAAAACTTGAACTCAAAAAAACTCGAACTCAAAAAAAAATTAAAAAAGTTCAATTGAAGCCTAAAATTTCAGCTCAATTGAAGTGAAAGAATAGTTCGCTCTGTGCTCACCAAAAGATTCCATGATTTTGAATGTCAAATTACATCTATTATTTATAGAAGTAAGTTAAGATGCTCTTCTATGTTTCTTAGCCATGTGAGAATTGTTATGATTTTTTTAAGCCTCAATTTTATTTTTTTCTATTATAGTTATATAATTATATTTATTATTTAATATGTTTTACCTTAAATATTATGTTATAGTTAATTTAAATCATTTTGTTTCACTTGATTTGAATAATTTTGTTTCACTTGATTTTATGGTTTTTAATTTATATATATGTTAGGCCTTGTGATATTTTTATTCATTTTAATATTGTAAACTTTAAAAAAGTGTTACATATATATTAATAGTGCTTTGAATATTATATAAAATTAAAAAATATATTATTTTATATAAAATTCGGTTCAACCGCGGTCGAACCCGATTAAACAAATGAACCAATACCTTCACCGATTTAATGTCCGGTCCAATTTTAAAAATATTGTCAAACTTATAATTTACCTTTTTTTATTTCTTCAAGTTAAACTCTGCCAACTGGGACTCCGGTCTCTGGCTCTCTTTTCCTAGTATGCCACGTGGAAACATAATTACTGCATGTGTAAATTACTTAATTCATCACTCAACTTTCTTAACACTTCTATTTCGCTCACTCAAGGTTAAAAATATTTAACTTAATCATTACTTTACACATTAAATTTTTGGGTCACTCATCCATTTTCCCAATAATAATCCGTTGATGTGGCTTCTTTTTTTAGTATACAGTGATATTTATCTTTTTAACGATATTTTAATTATGACATGTAATATAAAAAAAATAAAATTCTTAAGTTTTTCTCTCAAACCTCTAAACCCTAAACCTCAAATCATCATCACATCCTCATCCCCTCCTTTCTTTCTTTTCTCACGTTGTCTGATGCTAGTTACTCGCATAATGTAAGTGAGGTTGATGTTGTTTGATGCTAGTTATATAATTACGAGTTGTATAAAAATAAGGTCAGAGATTCAAATCTCGACGTTTGTGAATAGAGTAAATTGAGTTGAGATGGTCGTTTTCATAACGAGTCTTTATAAAATTTGATCTGAATTAGTCGATCAATAAATCATATATAAATAATTGATTCAAAAAATAAAATATATAAGAATAAGTTTCAAGACTAAACCCTTTTTTTGCGTAAATCATTAAGCGAATTGGTTGCAACAGACACCCCCACCAATTGAACTATTTAAGACTAACTTACTGTCTTTTATAGTAAACATTTTAGGTTCAACGTAATATTTGCGGTTGTAATCGAAAATGTTATAAATTTATATAATTTTCTATTAATTTTGGGTAAACTATACGTTTAGTATCTAAGCCATCAGTTTTATTTCATTTTAGTACATAAACTTTCAATATTTTTAAAATCATATCTAATGTTTAGTTTTTACTTCATTTTAGTACCTGATGTTAAAAACTTAACGCGTTTAATACCTAAACTATCAGTCTTGGTCCGTTTTAGCACCTAAGCTTTGATTTTTTCTTCAAAACTTAACGTTAAATTTTGAAGGGTGTACTAAAATGAAACGAAAAATAAACTTTAGACATGGTTTCAAAAAATTGAAAGTTTAAGTACTAAAATAGACTAAAACTAATAAGTTTAATGCTAAACACATATTTTACCCTATTTTCGGTGATACACTCTGGAGAAGAGAATTTAAGAGAAACCAGAAGTTTAGAGATTTGAGGAAATGCATGGTTCGAGACGGGCATTTCCATTATCCACAAGTATTTATTTCTCCACGAAGCTGCATGTGCTTCCCATATCTCATTATGTTCCAACCAACATATTATTTCCCATTGGGAATCCCAAATGAAGAAGAAGAAACATCAATACAAATACTGCCCTTATCTTCAAAGAGCTCTAATTAAATACAACTCCATTTTGCCCATATCTATCCATTCGTGGACCGAGACAGATCTAAAATTAAAATTTTGGGTTTCAAAATGTTAATATGGTATTTTTTTAAAAAAAAAAATTAGGTATGCTTGTGGAAGCTATATCCCAACTATGAGTTATAAGTGTATAAAAACTAGGGATGGACATGGGACCCAAATCTGATGGGTTTTGATTCGAACTGATCAGATCGGGTCGGGATTTTTTAAAAAATTCCGGATTCAGGTCGGGTTGGTTTTTTTAAAGGTGATGTTCGGGTCGGGTTGGATTCAAGTTTAGGGTGAAAATACTCGACCCGGACCTAAAAAAATATAATTTTACCTTATATATTTATGAATAATTATAATAATACCCCTCTATATATATTTTGTAATTAAATCACTATATTTATTGAATAAAAATAATATTTTTATTATTTCGGGTCGGATCGAATTGGGTACAGATTTTATCTCAAAATATCGGGTCGGATGAATCATGTAAAATTTTTGGGTCGGGTCGGGTTGGCCGAAAACTGACCCAAACCTGACCCATGCCCATCCCTAATAAAAACCATGCATGTTATGCACGAATTAAACTACTTTAATAGGTTAAAAAATAATTGTTATTTTTAAAGATTTTAGATTTGAGCATCATAAATTGTAAGGTATTTAAATATTTATTGCCAAATGATCGTAAGCTTTTAGAATAGATATTAATCTACTATCACTTGTATACATTCTAGATTAATAAAAAGGAAATGCATGCATGGTTTTTTAAACCATTTCGTAAGGTGATTGACTTACTATCTCTCATTTTTTTTATTGGGTAAATTATATGTTTAGTATTTAAATTATTATTTTTGTTCCGCTTTAGTAATCAAATTTTATTTAATTCAAAACCATGCCTAAGTTTAGTTTAGGTTTCGTTTTGATACCCTACTGTAGAAAGCTTACAGTTATGTTGACATGCTATCATAAGGTAATGTCATGTCATCATTGAAGAAAATAAAAAGAATTTCATGTCTGTTGTTCTGTTAAATTTTTAACAGTATGGTACCAAATTGAAACATAAACTAAACGTTATGTATGGATTGAAAAAAATAAAATTTGGATACCAAAACAGAACAAAAGTAATAGTTTAGGTATTAAAAGTGTAGTTTACCTTTTCTATTTAGGAAATGCTCTTTGCAACATTATAAGGGTAAACTATGTATTTAGTCATCCAATTAACACTTTGGTTTCATTTTGGTCACTCAACTATTTTTTTCCAAAATCATACCTAACATTGTGTTTAGGATGGGCACGAGACCCAAACTAAACGGGTTTCCACCTGACTCGGCCCAAACTTATTGGGTCTATTTTTTTAAAAAATTAGGCTTGAGTTGGGTCGAGTCGGGTTTTTAGAGGATATGCTCAGGTTGTGTCCGGTTTGGGTTAAGGGTGAAAAATACTTGATACAACCCAAAAAATAATGTAATTATACTTATATTTATGGATAGTTATAATATCCCTCTCTAAATTACTTTTACAATTAGATCCCTATTTTATTGAATAAAATTAATATTTTTTATAAATATATTTATTTCAAATCGGATTGGGTCAGGTTTTGATTTTATCTTAAAAGGCGGGTCGAGTCAAATTTCATATGGATGATGTATATTTTTCGGGTTAGGACGGATTGGTTGAAAACTCAACCCATGCCCATCCCTAGTTATATTTTGGTTTCGTTTTGGTTATCTGCTATTAATAAACAGAACTTTTAATGTGACAATTTTTTTTTAATTTTTCAATGATGAAATGACATTACCTTTAATATTTTAACAATAGGTGAACAAAACGTAACATTAAGTATGATTTTGAAAGAAAAAAAATAATAGTTGAATGACCAAAACAGTACTAAAGTGATAGTTAAGTGACTAAATATGTAATTTATCCTAATATCAATCAATGTAGATGGTAACATTATATATATGCTGTGTTGATTGTTTGTTGACTCGTGCCGCATGAATGCCATTTCTATTACATGTTCACATCTTATATAGTACTAGTATAATATTTTAGCTGTTGTTTCGGCAACACGTACTCTTTGATTAAATGTGCTGAGCCACCGCCAACAATGTATCACGTATGCTTGCTCAGGACTCATAAATTTACACCCAACCTGTTTGTGTAGAATTTAATGTGTTGACTTTTTAATAGCATGTGAAATTCAGTCCATTAATTTTGGCAAATATTCATCTTGGCTTAAAACTGTACCAAGATGAACATTATAGCAATTT